TTGTTTTTAAGTCGAGGCTCCATTCTCAAGTCGAAGCAACTTTTTGCGAACGGAGCCGTTCTTAACTCGAATCGTTCTTATGTAGGGATGTTCTCAAGTCGAGGTACCACTGTACCTTGAGAGGTGGTGAGTGCTCCAACACTGGTGGCATTCAAGAGAAATTTAGATAACCACCTGGCAGATATCCTTTAAGGTATATTCCTGCACTGAGCATAGGGTTGGACTCAGTGGCTTTATAGGCCCCAATGTCATGATTCTATGATGAACAATGATAACAACTGGTGGCTAAATTAATCCCAAGCCATAGATAACAAGCAGGAACAACATCTATCTATCTATCTATCTATCTATCTATCTATCTATCTATCTATCTATCTATCTATCTATCTATCTATCTATCTATCTATCTATCTATCTATCTATCTATCTATCTATCTATCTATCTATTTATTTATTTATTTGATTTATATCCCGCCCATCTGGTATATTCTACCACTCTGGGTGGCTTTATTACACGGTAATAAATAACTCTAATCACCAATGAGACTTGCAAGGTGTCTCTGGTAAGTTAGGAAGGAAATACAGCTGGGAAATATAGCAGATACAACACCGTTATTGGAGGGTTTTACATTTGATAATGACCTAACAAACCTTGGCTAATATTGAGTCCACTGAATCCATTTAAACATATGTATATATTTTATCTCAGCTGTTTCTCTCTGGATTCTTGTCCTGCAATTTTTCTTCTCCAGAATGGCAACTTTCAGATATTGCACAAAGTGTGTCAAGGTAAACTAAAATGATTTAAAACAGGTTTCTGTATATTGCCATTCTTTGTCTAATTTGTGTCTATTAATTATTTTGCCCAGAGATTGTACTGTTTGCACTATGTAGAGAGCAGAGAAGCATTGTTTGCAAAAGATGGCACAGAGAACATTGGCAGAGGAAGTACTTTTGATGTTATGTGTGACATTGTTAGGTCCTATAACTGTTTTGCCAGAAAAAATGTGGGGACACAGTTGGCATCTGGTTTTGTAGCAAGTTTAGTCCCAATCTCTGTGTCAGTGATGTGTGGTCCATTATGTGTCAATAGTTACTTGAGATGGTGGTATGTACGTGCTGTCTGTAAACAAGTATAGGTCTGCCATCAAGGACTTGGGAAAGTGAAGTATTCATGTCAAGAATGGGTTGGAGATCACTTATGATGTCTGTGAACGGTCTCAGATATGGACTGAAAATGGCAACTACCAGGTTACATTTGTTCTCTCTTCTGAACTAGGTTGCTTCTGGGTGTTCATTTTGCCTGTTAATTTGTTCCGGGTCACAGACATATGCAGATATGATCACCAGTTCTCAGTCTTCTTTCAAATCTTTTCCAGCACTTATATACACTAAGCTGCTTAAATAGCATTTGTCAGCATAGACAAATGGAGGCTGGGAGACAATCAAGTCCAACCCAAACTGTTGAATTTTGAATTGAGCCCATCTCCCAAAACTGTGGACCCCAAAAGTTGATCCTGGAAAAGTCACTCTCACAGATTTCAAGCACCATCTGAACTTGTGATTAACTGTGAACAATGTCAAAGTTATTGGGAGAGTGAAACAGGGTTCTATTAGTGGTATTTTAATCAGATAATGCATATAGATTTTTGACACATTGGATCTTATCTTTGCAAGCATGTGGTGGTTAAGCATCTTGCTTGTAGGTTCCCCTTCCGCAGATGCATTCGTGTGAAATGCTACGCTCTTCATTAATAAAACTATTGTTGTTGCAACCAACATTCAAAGCTATCGCTACCATCTACCTACTTATTGCCCAACCATCTAATCCATTAACATCACCGTACTTCATCTTGAGCCCATTACTACATATATTCTATATGCCAAGACACACCTTAGTTTGTCATTTAACGTTATTCAAGGTATAAAGTCAAGATACATTGTATAAAGTACATCTCCACAGTCCACTACGCCAGTTTTCCTATCAAAGGAGAAAATTAGGCTAGACTACTGTAATTTGTTTTTGGCTCATTCATGCTATTTATCATATTCCCTATTCTCCACTGGTCATTTACAAATGCTCTATAGCTCAGTAGCTGCACATGGGTGGGACACAATGGGATTACAAAGATTTTAATGATGAACTCCTCAACAGATTTATCACCTGTCAGGAAACAAACACACTTGATTGCCTTGTGCCACCTTGATTACCGTTAACCCAGCTGTGAATTTTCACATGCCAAACGGAAAAATAATTTCAGTAGATTTTTAAATGGAAGTGGCAAGACTCCATACAGCAAAGTCCAGCTAACAGGAAGGATGGCTCTGAACTGCGCTTTTTAAATTTTAAAAACTGGAGTAAATTTGGTTTGACAACTCTGTAAAGTGATGTTATGAAAAGGAAACTCCAGATATTCTTGTTTCAAGTATAAAAGCATGAAAAGAGGCAAGAAACAGTTTGTAGGGCAGGACATTGCTGAATAAAGCAACTGAATATTGTGGTAGAATATAATACCTTGCTGAGTACCGTAAAGGACAAAGCAGTTCAATTCAGAAATGCATCCACAACTCAATTAATGTCTCTTTTGCTGTTGCTAACACAATAATTTAAATTAAATAACAGTAATTTAATTTAAACAACTATGCTTGTTATAAAACTGCATCAGCATCCAATGTGCTATTCAGGACATGCAGATTATCAGGGTAAATTTCGTTCCCACTCAAGATATCACATAGTGCAACTATGCTATACATGGTAAATGCAGGAATTTATACTTGCCCCATAATAGTCAGGGCTGAATAGAAGAAGTAAAGTCCTGGTTGACAGGGCTAGTTATCAAGAGCGCTACAAAATTTACTTTCCACTACCAACTAAATTTTAATTCTGGAAAGAGAGCTCCCATTTTTTCTCCTGAGGAAGAGGTGGAAGTGAATACAATATTTTGACAGGTCTTGAGGGCTGGCCCATACTGACCTCTTCCTATTCACTGTCTCCTGCAAATTTCTTCCCCTCCTTGTCATTTTTAACTCATTTTCTTCCCTGATGGCCTCTCAGGGCTTGACCAGATGGATCATTTGCTCCTGTAAAAATACTGGGTACAACGTTGTTTGTTTCAGTATTTCTCCCATTGTCCTGACAATCTTAAGGCTATCCTCAAGATGACCAAGACTTTTTCCTGTGCCTTTCTGTACTTGGTGATGGTGTGGTCTGGGGCAGAGTTTAGCTTTGTAGTTCTTTCAATGTGAAGATCATTTCTGAGCCAGAAGGTCCTAGCCAGATGCTTTTAAATAACTCACAAATGCAAGCTATTTTTAAAATAGCTGTAGAATTTAGCTTCAGCAGGGATGTGTATTCCTAATGATTTTTTTCCTATGGATTTCAAGAATTTCCTGAGGAAAAATGTTTTCAAAAGATGTGGCTTTCTGCAGTACTGTTCAAGTAGAAGTCCCAGTAAGACTTTCATTTGTGCCGAACTGCAACTGACCATAAGCTACTGGACCAGAAATTCTGCCCTGGCTGGATAAGCATGGAAACAAAAACAAAAAATTAAATTTATTACGGGGTAGTCTGGAACAGTATATGTGAGCATGAAATGTTTCACATATCATCCACCCAGAAATCCTTCTATAGAAACCACCTTCGGCATCAGGTTCATATCACCTAGAAAATGAAGGTTTAAAGCAGGCTTGTCCAACCTGTGGCCTGAGGGCCGCATGTGGCCCAGGTTGGCTTGTAATGCAGTCCGGTGAAATTTTTTTATTTTTAAAGAAATTTAAAAGTTTCAAGTTACACTGCCGGCGCTTGTGGCCGGAATGCGGCTGGGGCACATCACAACGATGGGGGGGGAGGGAGAACGCGAGGAAGGAGCGGGAAGGGAAGGGAGAGGGAGGCTGCGTGACTGCATTGCGCCATCCCCGTCAATAGGTGGACCCCCTCCCGGCCCCATAAAACCACCGGAGTCGAAGCTGGCAGCCTCTGCTGTCTGAGATCGCAGCTGCTGGCAAGCGCGCTTGGAGCAGGGCTGCGGAGGACAGATAGGGCTGCCCCCCCACTGCAGCCCAAACCAAATTTATGTGTGGCCCAAACCAAATTTTCATCTAATGTGGCCCAGGGAAGGTGAAAGGTTGGACACCCCTGGTTTAAAGCAACATCTTTGCTGAAGACATACAGCAAAGAAACTGAACGACCTAGCAAGTCAACCTTCTCAGTAGCTGCAATTGTGTATCCTCAGCATTGTGACTTTTCTTCTCTTTTGTCAAATCCAAACACGTAAATAAAAATCTGTCCTTTTGAAACACAGATTGCTTAGGCTGGTGTATGCGTCAGCTGGGATGGGAAGCAGTAGTTGACCATGTGAACATTTTTCAACCTGGAGGAAGGAAGGGACCCTATAGCGTAAGACCTTGGCAGGAGTACAAATGCTTCCAAAAATGTATATATGATATAGTTAGTTATGTGCCATCAAGTCAGAGCCAACTTCTAGTGACCCTAATAAGGCTTTCAAGGCAAGTATATATGATATACCAGACTTCTAAAATAGAAGACAGGACTCAACAGAATTAATATCAGTTGATGTTCCACGATCCAACTACTCAGGAAAGAGTTGACATAGGTTTCCTATACACAACCTGTAGTTGTTTTTAATGTACACGGCACTAATTATGGGTTTTGATTGCCTACACATATTTCTACAGGCAACCTCTGAATAACATAATGGCAACATTCCATGCAGTGAAGTTGGGTGGTAACAGCAAAGAGTCTTCAGATGGCACAATTTGGGGAGTATAATATTAACTTTCATCCTCTTTCTAGAAAAAAAAGAGCAAAATATACACCTCTTACAATTTGTTTGTACTTTACCTGAAATTCATCAAAGCACAGGAGACAAGCCTCTTCACTTATTTCAGCAGCTACAGGGGCTATTGGATCATATGATTTAGCCATTAATCCAGGTTTCCTTTTTGGCAAACTCTGTTTAAGGCGATGTATTCCTGAACATAACACATAGACATAGTAAAAGCACTGGATATATTTTCAAACAGTTTTTTTAAATTGTATCTCTCTATATATGCAGAATAAAATTAAGGTGTTCTTGCATAAAAGATGAAAGGGGGGAGGGAATGGCATTTCTATAATTATAGTAATCTATTTATACCATGGAGAGGAAAACTTTAAAAAATTGAGAAGCATAGTAAAGTATTTCTTAGGAGTCAGCAAAACGGTGAGGACAGGAGGAAATGGTCAAGGAGGTAGGGGAATTGTGAAGAATGCTTATCTATGTCAAAGAGGCTGGAAGGCAGAGGATTTAATTAGAATAGCTCTTTGTCAGGATAATGAGAATAATCCAGTATTTTGGAAGGGAGGCACATGCTACAGCCCCTTGTGGTACACAAACAGCTGCTATGTCTGCAGAGAAGGAAGTAACTAAAGAGTTAAATTAGGAGCCGATTTTGGCAATGATAATCTCTCTTTCCACACTTAACAGGGACCAATTCAAGCCCATGCCTCTGATGGCACTTTCCCCTCTTCTTTGTGATCCCAAGCACTGGCATAATATTTGCAGAATGCAGATATTCTATTACACCACTGCAACTCGGCTAATAGCATGCAGATAGTTTTAGCCTGTAATATGTGTATGAACAGGAAGAGGTGCACTAGTTGAAATATGTATGGAAAAATTGTGCTCTTTTTATTGCCTTTTCCTAACTTACTGTACATGTTCCACATATCTCATTCTCTGCAGCTCACTTTTAAAGTCTGTTGCTCAATCTCCTTTGACTAAGAATTTTTACACATATTCAGAGCAGATATCAGAAAATGAGAGTAAGAGGAATACATCACACCACCTTTCAGTTAAAGTTATGAGTGTTTCTAACCTAAACTGGCTTCTGAGTTGAGGCAAGGAGTTCAAATTTCCACTGTGCTTCCTCAGAGAAGAACTATCCAAAATCACTCATCACAGTATGTGTAGCTGTACCTGTGCAACCATGGACAAACTGCATTGTCTGAGAGCATCACCAGAAAGGAAAGTTTGCACATGTAATATTTGCTGTAGTTTTCCCTGCATCACTTTCCAGACTGAAAACATTTCAAGAATGCATTCTTCCACTGAAAGTATTACAACTTCTCCACAAATGATCTAATTCCCTTATTTCAGATTAAAGCTATCTCACCAGTGCAAGAAAAATGACTCAGCAGAGTATCTTATAAGCACAAAAGCCTGATTTCAATAATGTGGATTTTTTGGAACATTTGGAAATCTTAAAATAGACTGTGCCTTGAACAAAGTACAGTTAGATTCAGAATCTTCATTTGACTTCCATATACTAAATGAAACATTTTAATGACTTAGATTCAGAATCTTCATTTGACTTCCATTTACTAAACAAAACATTTTAATGACACAACAACCTGTACATATTTGAACTGAAATATGTTATTAGGACAAAATTAAGTACATATAATGTGGTTTAAATATTACTTTCCAGCAGATTTGAAGCTTTAAATGGATATTATTTTTCTCAGAATACTTTTTTTACATCTACTTCCTTTATCTTCTTCCCTGAATTTAAGGGAAAGTGTACTGAAAACTGCCAGCAGGTTAATTTTAGCATGCCAAGGAGTTGTGCATGATTATACTGCGATAATCATCTACTTCCAACAGAGAGTTTACTCTTTTTTGACTGAGATCATAGGGACACCTTCAGTTTCAACGCTGAACTGTAGAATCTCTTGCACTTAGTTTAAATGCAGACTTAGACTATTTGGCACCCATTCATTTTGTTATCCATGAATTTTAAGCAACAAAACCTTCTCTAGAAACTGAAACATTTCCAAGGAAAAATCAAGCACTGGAAAATTTCCACGGAAAAATTAAAGTACAGTGGGGGCTTGACTTGAGAACTTAATCCGTATTGGAAAGCAGTTCTCAAGTCAAAAAGTTTGCAGGTCAAATCTGCATTTCCCATAGGAATGCATTGAAAACCATTTGATCCGTATCTGCTCTTTTCTGTCCATAGAAACTGATGGGAAGCTGCTATTCTGCCTTCGACCACTAGAGGGGGATATTTTGTTTCTTTTTTTCTTAGGTCAAGAAAGGTTCAGGGAAGGCAGGGAAAATACAGTCCAGGCAGTACAGTACCAGGCAGTCTGAAGACTGTCTCCCAATCCACTCTCTAGACGCTGGGAGGAGTGAGGAAGCAGACAGGCACCCTTTTCACTGGTCAACAGTTAACTGTAAGTTCAAATTTTGCACTTTCCCTGCCTCCCACGTGGTTTTTTTCCAGTTTATAACTCAAATCTAAGTATGTAAGTTAAGTCAATATTTTCCTATGAGAGTGATTCTTAAGTCAAAATGTTCTTAACTCGAGCCGTTCTTAAGTCAAGACCCCACTGTACCCCCTCCATCACTAGTGGATTCAATTCAATACAAGAAAGATGAGAGATCTAAACTTACGTTTGTGCACATCCAGCATGAATCCATGAAAATGGACTCTTTTTTTCTTTTCTGTTTCTAACTGAGAATAAAATATGTCCATCACCATTGTCTTTCCTGTGCCTTTAAATAAAACATACATATACCCAACAGGCTGTTAATTTAAAATATTATGTACTGATTACAGTAATGACTGTTCATTAGCATTGAATTAATGAAATCATTATCTTTGGGAAGCATAAAACCACTATCTTTGGGAAGCAATACTTCAGCTTTCATGGACAGGATCATTTGTAATTTCAGAATCTGAAGTATAATATCAAATGGTTGTTCTGGGTTTTTTGGGCTCTTTGGCCGTGTTTTGGCGGGG